AAAAAGTCCCCAAAAAGATGAAAGATTATATTTGAACTGTCCCGAGTGACAAGCAAGGGGGTAGGCGAGGGTTGTTGGGTGCACCTATACACTGAAACGAACCCATTTAACACACATAAAGACACTTAAAATACATACAAATACGCACAGAAACGTACACAGTTACACAAACATCCTCAAATACATACATATAAAAACACTCAAATACATGTCCCATGTGTGTATCCCATCTCCTTTAGGGGCAAGCACCTTCTTACATAACTATTGTAATAAATATACACTCGGAAGTATACACCACTTACAAACTCTCCACGCACTTCTGTCCTGGGCTATTATAGTCTTTCCTTTTTTTCAGCAGTATCCCATCTTGTTCAAGTATATGCGCCTTCATATATATTATGTAAATACAAATAAACACATTCACACACATATTGACTGCTCCGTGTAATATGTCACTATCTTTAGTTTTCGTAAGAGTTTTACAGCACTTGCAACACAATAAGGTCATTTAAGTGCTAAAGAATAGATGTGTTACAAGAGAGTAACATACACAAAAAAGAAGGAGGAGATTTTTGTTTTAGTATGAGTTTTACGGCACTTGCAACACAATAAGGTCATATAAGCCCTGAAGAATAGGTGTGTTACAAAAGAGTAACATACACAAAAAAAAGGAGGAGAGATAAGGACGACAGATGTTTGATAGGAAAGAAGGAGCAAACCACACCAGAGCACCCACCAACCATCCACACGTCACTATCTAAATGGGGTGAGGCAGAGTCTTATACTACGCAGTCGATAGGCAAACACATGCACACACATCCACACACACACACACTCACACACATACACACACACCCATGCATGCACACACACACACACCCACACATCCTTGGTGCCCATATGACCTTATGCCTTATGCAGTTGCGAGCGCCGTAAAACCCTTACTAAAAAAGAAACAACCACACACCCACAGACTTTCTTCCTCCCTCTGCCACAGTCTACCCCCCCCCACACACATGTAGCCGCCAACAACTCACATAAGCCCATCCTCTGTGTTGCGGTAGTGCGCCAGCAGCGTGTTCATCTGCTCCAGGTACTCGGGCGCGTACACGACCACATGCTCCGTGGGCTGGACGCTCAGACTAACCACACTCAGCAGGTGGTTCACTAGGTGCACCCAGCCCACCTGTACACAGGTCACAGATCATAGGTCACAGGTCATAGGTCAGCAACGAAGTAGTCACAAAGAATGCATATTGGGCAATTTTATAAATAAACATACATAATAATAATATTTAACATACACGATACTCATAAGCAAATACGCATAAGCATATACACACACACACACACACACCCATACATACATACATACACGCAAGACACTCATACAAAAAAAGTACATACATACACAAACACACGCAAACACACATACACACACATACACACACACACACACACACACACACACACACACACATACTGACACACATATGCTCACATAATTACAGACTGCAGTGAGAAAATGTTATTCCTTTTCTTTTTAAAAAAAAAATTAAGGTGCTTTTAAAAATTCCCTATTAAAATAATGTTAGATCATTTTTGAGGCGAGCTCCTAACCCTGCCTATTGGTGCCAAACTGATCTGTGAGTGATACATCCCAACAGAAAATCTGAGATACTAAATAAAAGTTTTCTCCCCACTCAGGAATCGAACTCAGATCCCCTGAATGCAACAGGCAAGTACCTAACCGCTACATCACAGATGCTGGTAGAAAAGGTCCGATAACACACACAACAATCCTACCTGATTAAAGGTCCGCGTCATGTTGGACAGTGTGTACTTATGATACATCTTCTCCTCATCTCTTCGTTCCTCATCTGGAGTCGTGATCTGTGTGGAAAACGAAATGGTATAGGTTTAACACCCCTATAAAACCTTTTTAAAGGTTTTTTCAGAGGCGGGACCTCCAAGTTTAACGTCCATCTCCGAAAGAACTGAGCAAAAAAGAAAATATAATATGGGAACCCTATCCGTACGTCGTGTTTTACTATCGTACCCATTCAACGTTGGGAACTCTGTGCAATCATTTTCCAAAGAGGAAATTTATTCGTTAATCCGATCTGTGCGATGTGTATAGCAGTCTTTCAAACTGATTTTTAGAGAAATACTGAAAGTATCAGAGAGATCTTCGTACTAGAAGTATTCTATAATGTGAAGAATACAACCCCGGGGGGTACAAAATGACCCCAGGGTGTACGGATAGGATTAAAGGCCTTTCCTAAGGACACAACGTCCGGCTGAGCTGAGGCTCGAATCCCCAACCAGCAACCTCATGAATACAAGTCCGGAAGCCTAACCACTACACCACCAACACAAATGTGATCTGTGTGGAAAAGTAACACAAAAACTCATTAACATTTTATTTCTAAGCAAAGATATGTAAAAGTTACATTTATCTCATCTTATCACAATTCGTTCCACATATTGGATAGTAATGAAACCACATAAACATCCACCACAATTTCAACACCCGGTCCACTCTTACATTCGCCAGCTCAGTCTCGAACTCAATCACTCTGGTCATCATCTGTGTGGTGTAGGTCTCATTGGGTGCACCTAGC